GTGTGCACAGAGCCGGTATTCCACCAGCACAGAGATCCTTCTTCTTTATGTTGGTTTATGCCACCAAATGATGTTGGTCAGATCGATCCCAGCCCTCAAAACACCAGAGAAACAAATATTGGTTTTGTGTTTAGGAACACGAGCCAAACTCAGATAGGGGCACACGTGAGATCCTGCACGCGGACTCACCCACATCTGCATGTTTCAGAGCTCCAACATCGTTGGTCCCATCCCCACACATCAGCGTGACGTAGCCCAGGCTCTTCAAAGTAGTGATCACAAACTCCTGCAAAAAGAAACACGTAGTGAGAATTGGCAGCCTGCGCGTTCTGATACGCTGCAGCCTGGGCTGGGTTACTTGTTTTGGTCAAGTAATTCTGTTGTGCAGGAACTCGCTGGCCTCACACCCAGACCCCAAAGGCTTCACCTTCAGGCTCTGTTTTAGGAATGCAAAGCTAGAACGGGCCAACGGGCTCAGGACTCTTTAGGGTAATAACGTGGCACATCCTGAGCTCTGGTCCTTGCTTCCTGCTGGCTTGGATATTGGGAGAGGTTACGCTGCTTTGTTGAAATTAATGCTTTAGCATTAATCATGTGCTAGCATCTACGTGGCTCGCAGGCACCACACGAGCCCTGCTGGGAACCCTGCTAAAATTGGGTTTTACCAGCAGCTGAAATCTCTCACCTTCTGCTTTGGCACCACTCTGGCAAACACCTGGATGTGTGGTATGAGTTTCAGCAGCTGCTGTCTGTTCACAGACTGTAGGCGAGAGAGACCTTCCCCAGTTACACACAGGTCGTATTGCTGTGTCAGCTCTTGCAAGGAGGTTGGCAAGATTGGGAGCACGACAGCACCGTCGATGGACTGCCACTGCCAGCTGGAGTCTGGAAAGAGAAGCACCAGCTTGACATGAGCATGCCTGTGAGGTGCCTGGCTGTGAGAAATGCTCCCCGCTACCCAACAGACTCTGACCCTGGTGTTTGCAGCCCCTCAGCATCATGGACACAAGGCCCTCCGCTTCTCAGGACAGTGACATGCCCACCTCCCACCTAGGTACAGTCTTTACGTGGACCCTCCTTCCCTGCAGTCAGTGACATGGCGCTCAGCTTCCCTGGGTGGCCTCTGAACCCGCAGAGCAAGGAGGCCTTTCAGCTGCCATTACGTTTGTTATTTTGGTGCTCAGATAGCTCGGTTTACGAGCTGGCAGAGGAATATATAGTACTCCAAGCCAGAGAAGAGAGGAGCAAAGGACAGAGGGTTATCTGGGATTCTGGAAAGCAGGCGAGTTGTTTCCTTTATCAGCATCAAGCAACAGTGCTAATAGCATGTGGCTAACTCTGATACAATGCCCCAGTAGAGCTTGGGCTGTTGTCCTCCAAAATGCAGAGCCATTTCCTGCGTGGGATCGGTTACCTTTGCTCACAGGAGGCTGCAGAATGAGGGTGTGCTCCCTCTGGAGGAAGTGTAGCTCCCGGGCCACATGGCAGGCAGTGAGAGGATTGTCTCCTGTTATCATCACTACCTGAGGGGAAAGCGAGAGGGGTCAAAAATCAGTTCTGGGTAGAAAAGCAGCACTTCACAGCGAGTCTTCTTTACGCTGAAAAGACTTCTGCCTAGCTTGGATACTGGTGACATTCCCTATGAGATGTAGCTCTGTGCAGCACCCTGCAGAAAGGCTTTCTCTCTTGGGCCAAGGCAAATCCCACCACAAAAATAACATCACATCCACAAGGTCTCCCCGCCTTCACCATGGGGAAGCCTTTGCCCTCGCTCCACAAAGGCTTCTGGTACTGAAATTCCGCATCCCAAACACCATGGCTACCAGTAAGGCTAGGCTGCTGCTGACGCTTACGTGGTGTGATGCATTCTGGATCTCCCTGATGACGGCCTTAGAGTCAGCTTTGAGAGGACAGGAAACCACAATGAATCCAACAAATCTAAGATCACACTCCAAAGCTTCACGCTTCATCTCTCTCACCTGCCAAAGCAAATCAGCAAACAGAGTGTTACCTGCTGCTCTGTAGCAGCCATCTTATTTTCCAATGGGTGCTTCCTTGCAATCAAAGCATCACTAGAAACACAACTGGTGCTCTGAGATACACACAGCAACCCCAGACAGTGCCCAGCTGCTCCAGAAGAAAGCCTTCTTTGGCACAAAGCTCCACAGAGACAGCCCTGAAAACAATTACACGTGCCCATCCCCACATAAAACCAGGTTCACAGCTAAGAAGTTCAGTGCTAAGCGTCTTCAATTGCTACAAGGAAGGACTTGACCCTGCTTTACGAACAGGGAAACAGAAGCATTGATCAATGATGCACAGGAATTCAAACCTGGGAGCACAACGCAGAAGCTGCGATCTTCGCAGAAGATCCAGATCGTAAAAACAACACGGTTACAGCAGCTTTGAGCAACCACATCCCAAGAGTCCCCCGCCTCTTCCCTGCTCACACCACCTCTGTTTCCATTAAGAGGTACTGGATTAACTTAAACAGACAGATATACCTGCTGGTGAGTGAGGTGCCCCAGTTCTTTGTAGCCAAGGGCCAGCACTCTTGCCCCCTCATGTGAAATTTCCGTGTGGACAGCCTGATAGTTGCTGGGGCACTGAGACAGCTAGAGAAGGTGTGCAGAAAAGCATCATATTAATACAGTTTTAAACACAATTCAGTAGCGTATTTCAGCATTTCACATTAAATATGCAGACAGGGGAAAGAGGCACCTTTGGGAGGGTCCCTCACCATCAAGGGCAAAAGTGGAGATCCCCCAGGTTTAGCCTTCTGCTGTCAGGAAAAGCAACAGGGCCATGAACGCATACAGTGAGATATTCAGATCTCACTGGGATTAGACTGAAATTCCCCAGTGGTGTTTGTTTTCAGGCACCGGTTCCCTGTGCTCTTTTGCAGGATGAAATCCCCACGTCATTCAGGTTCCAGACTTGGCAGGGACAAGCAGAGGTGTAAAGGACAAGCACACGTGCTAGAAGAAGGCCCTTCCTCTCCTAGAGAGATGCGCTCACCATTTTGTGCAGCGTCTCTGGGGCCCCTTTCACAGCTGCAATGTAACAGAGATCAGTCGAGCCGATCTTCTCGTACGACGCCAAGACAGACATTCTTTTCAGGGCACTGGCAAAATGAAAGCGCTGGTGAATTTTCAGTCCCTGAGTTTTAATACTTCTGGAGAAAACTTTCTCATCTGGAAACAAACAGATCAGGAAATCCTGAAAGGTTTCTCGGTATCAAGAGCAACATCCCTCCCTTTGGGTCCCAAAGGAACCCATAGGTCACCGAGATCACATGAATTTCCTCTCCTTAGATACAAGCACACAGAGCTGGAAATTCTAGTGCCAAGAACTGAGGGATATAACTGATCAGAACGCCTATGTGCGTTAGTACGAACAGCTACACAGCAGGTTGAAGGTACATTTATAGCATATATTATTATCACAGGTAAAAATCCAGAAGCAAAAATCACAACAGCATGGGTTTCAGTGCGATACATATACAATATTTCTGGAAAATTTCTATTTTAGTTATCTATGCATGCGAAAGCCAAGAAAGCAGAGCAGAAAGCCTCCAGAGAGACTGCCCGCAGACCATGCTAAAACCCACACTGTCATGTTTTCACTACTGTAACCTGCGCTAGTCACGCCCTGATTTTACTGAGTTGGCACAATCAGAACTAAAAGACACCAACCGAGTGTGCCAGTTGCAGAATGCAGTACCTGCAGTCCTGGGAACAGACTTCTACTATTTGTCGTTCCTCAGACATGCAGTGCAAGGATTTCCACTGCCCCAAACCAGTTCCTGGGATCACACCAGCCGGAATGCACTCCTTGCAGAAAGCTGGCATGAGGCATAGGAAATCTCCACAGACTAGCTAATTTCATGCTCAGAACTGACAAACCCAGTGTTACCATTGTCACCCCCCCCAAAAAAAATCCACCCCACAACCTGCACATGTAAGCAGGGCTCAGATATCAACCAGGGAGGAGCTGGAAACAGGTTTTACCTTTGGTCAGGGTCCAGTCCACAGCCATCAACATCGCCTTCTCTAACGGATCTCCCACCAGCGTCCCATCATCCAACTGTACAAGCGAGTGGCAAGTAGCAATCGTTCGGTGGGTTTCTACAGGAATGTCAGATACTGGTGTCACTTCCTTCCCATCCCTGCAGCATAAAAAAGACTGTCCATGTTAACAGACCCCATTCACATTATCTCAGACAAATTCTGGAATTTTTCCCAGCAAAAAATTCCTACTCTAATACAGTAAACAGAGGAACTTCTCATGGTGAGATCAAAGCCATAGGAAATCTGGCGCTGTCTCAACTGCAAACAGTGCCAAAGCCCATAATTTTTGCCAGTCCTCCAAAGCAAACTTGATTCAAGCAGAACACTCGAAGTAGAGGCCTGAACTAACACCTTTAAGTAACTGTAGAATCAAAGGACTCGGATGTCTCTCTGCTGCGGCATCTAGCCTTCAAGCACAGTTCGTTATGGCAGCGCAATGAGAAGGCAGGATGCTACTGCATGGAGGAGCAGCGGAGATCTCAGTTACATAAAAACCCTATGCAAAAATTCCCCCAAGCCAATTAAATTCACAAGTCCTGAGCTGATAGTCGTTGCCAGAGACCAACGACCCTCTCTCCTTCTAGCTCAATCCACTTCTTTCACTCTCTGAATCCCTGATTATCTTCTCTTCCCCACTGGAATGTGATTTCACTTGTGCCTGAGGAGTTCCCACAGTGCCCAAAGCCCAGAGCACAGCAAATCATAGAACGAAAATCACCCGGGACCTACCTGAGCCCAGCTACTCCTCTCACTACAAGGTGATCACTGGTTAACGTGCCAGTTTTGTCAAAACAGCAAACTTGAACTTTGCCTGCAAAGGGGATGCGGAAGGGCTCTGTACAGTACACATCTAGAAGAGAGGAGAGGAAATTCTGTGAGAGATCAGCTACAACAAAGCCAGGACAGGATGCTCAGTGGCTTTTATCACAAGACAGGAACTATCAACACGGTTCTCAGCTGGAGTTAATGAACCCTAAACTCCCCATTCTGAATTTTTGTGGCACTTGAAACAAGAACAGACACCAAATTGTAGCAGTTAAGTAGTCCAACACAGAAGTCATTGATCTCCCTATTCATAGAATCATAGAATGGTTTGGG